CATTTAGAAATGCCAATGATCTATGTGGGTTTATTTATAGCCTGCAACTTTGCTAAAGTTGTTTATTATTTCAAGTAGTTTTTTACTTGATTCAGAGCCAGTAATCTTGCTGCTGTTAGACCACACTGCTTCTGCTGTGAGTCTGGAAATCAGAAGAAAGATCAAAGTTGAAGATACAGGTTTGGGAGTTATTTGTGCTTTGCACTTTGGTTAGTTAACACCAATCAGTGCTGAGTGTTGGACTGGAAGGGCTATCAGGACTCTAGCCTTAGCTTTGTAACTAACTGAATATGTAACCATGGGTAAACTATTGTCCCTGCCTAGGCCTCAGGTTCCTTGCCAATCAAATGAGGGATTGGGAATGATTGTATTCCAAGTCCCAACACCTCTAATATTTGGGGGGAAGGGTCTTGATCCACCATTGCCACAGGCTTGACAGACAGTGACCTACACTGAGTGGTCTGGCTAAGCACTAGAGATGTTAAGTGAGCTTGAAACCTCTGAGAGGATCAGGAGTTATGTATGCATAGATAGTCCCCCAAGGTGAGGAGATTCCAAAGAGAGGAGTCCAGTCATAGGTTTAGCCACAATCTAGGTGACACAGCAGATAGAGAATTGGACCTAGAGTCAAAGTTGTTGAGACACTTGTTAGCTGTATGACCTTGGGCAAGTCACTTAACCTGTTTGTCTCAGTTTCCTCAACTGTAAAATGCAAATAATAATAGCACTTACCTCTCAGAGCTGTTGTGAGAATAAAATGAGATAATATTTGTAAAGTGTTTAGCACAGTGCTTGGAACATAATAGGCACCTAATAAAATGCTTGTTTCCCCTTCTTGTTACCCATTAGCAAAACTTTCTGATGCTGAGATAGGGTTCTAAACCAGAGGTTCCCAAACTTATTGACCTATCGGCCCCTTTCAAAAAAAATTACTCAGAGCCCCCCTGGAAATCCACTTTCTTTAGCCCTTTAATTTTTTTTAAATTTGGGTCATTTCAATAAAAACAAAATATTTTTTTTTAAAAATTGACACATCTGAAATTTAATAATTTATTGTAAATTTTGGGGGTTTTTCCTGCATTGAAATTTTGATGACGCAATATTGCTTCAGTATCATATTGTATCATATTGTAAAGAAGTCATTACATGCACATATTCCTGCTGATTCATGCTGGACTTCCCAATAATGCACTACATGCTTGCCTGCCAACACTTGCTTGTTAAGACCTGTCAGTGAACTTGACCACTTTTTTGTGTGTTTATTTGGAAAAATAATGTTATCACTATGACTTTAACTCTGTTATACAACAAATGAAACACGTACAAAGAGTTTTTCAAATTTTTCTTCTCTTCTCTTCTTTCTTTATACTTCCACTTCTCCCTTATTTTTATTCAATGCCCCCCAGTTGTACCTGAGGCTTCTACCACCCCCCTAAATGTACCCTCCTAGATCATTCCAGTATCCTCCAGGAGGTGGTATCACCCACTTTGGGAACTTCTGTAAGCCTTTTCACAAACCATTATCAAGTTGTCAGCCTGAGATTTTGATTAGTGAAAGAAGGTAACATATGTGACACCATATCTGGATGTGGTGGTTTCCCCAACTTCTCAAAAGCAACGTCAGGGAAGCACAATCTCTGATAGTTCACCCAAGCTGGGAAAGTTTTGAGTAGGTGCTGGGGATGGACTTTAAGTCGTCACCTCAGGACCAGTGGAACTTCCTTGCAGAAAGTCTCACCATCAGAGACCTGACTACCCACTAGGGGATACATTTTGTGGCTACAGCACCTTGTAAAGACTAGCCAATAAGGGTGGGAGGTCTTTTGATCTTCTGGGTAGACGGAACAACCAACCACCGTGATCAGATAGTGGATGCATTGAAAAGTGTGTTTCTATGTTAATACCTATTGAGGGCTCACAGAACAAGAAGGACAGTTTGCCCGGAGCTGAGGGTTGCAAAGAAGAAAAGGGAGGACCTACATTCTGTGGGGTCCCAGAAGCAGAATAGAAATCCTCTTGACCATGAAGGTGTTATCTCCCTTGCTGGTGATTAACATTTCTGTTTTTGTTTTTCCCTTGCCTTCCTTTCCAATAGGTTCTTCCCCTAGAAAACAAAATGAAGAAGAATGACCATTTCCCAGTCATCTTGTATGGAGGAATGACCATGATTACACTTCTCTATACCAGCCTGGCATGCCTGGGCTACTTGAAGTTTGGAGCAGCCATACAAGCCAGCATAACCCTCAACCTGCCCAACTGCTGGTATGTTTATGGTTTGGAGAGTGGAAATCCATGCAGTTGGGAAGACTTGGGAAGGTACAGTTCTAATGGAGCAGGAAGAATACTCCTGGCTCTGCTCCTAATTGAAAGTCATTCACTATCTGTTTTGCCTTGGGAAAGTCCTCTTTCTGTGCCTTTATTTCCTCATCTGTAAAATGAGGGCAATATCCATTATTCTCTTCCTCACAGGCTTTTAGGGAAAAATGAGATAATGTGTACAAAGCCCTTTTTAAAGTGTAATGGAAATTATACTTTCCATCATAGACTGAGTACTGTATTCAACACTGGGAAAAGATGCAAAGTCTAGAAAAGTTAATATTATGATGATCATTCATTTTTATTTTTATTTAAATAAAGCAGGAGGATTGTAGAGTTTTTTTAGGCTGGGGCAAGAGTGAATTTGATACCTCCATGCTGATCTCATCGTGAATTTAGTTCCTAGACTGAACCATAGAATATCGTCACTGGAGTGTTTGATTATCTGTCTAGTCAACTCTTCATTTTACTGAGGAGAAAACACTGAGGCCCAGAGTGTCTTTCCCAAAGTCGTACAATGAGTCAGGATTCCAACCTAAGCCTTTGGGTTCCAAGTCCACTGTTCTTTCCTCTTCACGGTCCCTAACTAAATGTGTTGGATACCACTATTGTTAAACCAAAAGATGATACCTGAAACTATTCTGCACCAGAGAAGATATTTCAGTTGGGGATAACATATAAGAGCATTGGTAGCAAGGAATGAGATAGAAGCCAAACTGTCTGCTCTGTGTGTTTGGGTCCTTTTTTGTCAGCAGCTCTCCTGTTCTTCTCTCTGATCCCTTCGGAGCTATGGCCAGTGATGCAGCTATAATTTCCTGGATTCTAGTCCCAGCTCTGGTCTCTACTGCCTATATTACCTTAGGCAAGTCACTTCCTTGTTTTTTCCTCTATAAAATCAGAGTGGGGGTAGAGGAGGTTGGACTAGATAATCTAAAACAGGGATTCTTAATTTTTTTATGTCACAGACCCTTTTGGCAGTCTGATGAAGCCTATGGACCACTTTTTGGAATAGTTTCTAAATGCATGAAATACCTAAGATTAAAAAGGGAAGCAACTATATTGAAATACAGTTATCAAAATATTTCAGAAATCATGTCACAGACCCAGGTTTAGAAACCCTGGTCTAACATTCTACTGTTTTTTAACTCACATATGACAAACTCATTTATATTACCATCATACACAGTTGTTCCTTCTACTGATGGCCACAGGGAGCTTCAAAACATACTCTTAGACCCAGCTCTGGGGACTAGCCCAAACTCAGCTGTCAACAATGACCACCAATCCTGATAATGTGACCAGCTCAGGACCCATATCTACATCTCTACCACTGTAGAGACCTACAGTCCCACTCCTGACACTACCTGTGTCAAGTACAAGCCACTTAAACTTCATGGGCCTCAGTTTTTTCATCTGTAAAATGAAGGGGATAAATTAAGTGGCGGTTTTCAATACCTCTTCCATCTAGAACTTCAACTTAGAATCAAATACTGCCTCTGACACTAACGAGTTATGTGACGACACACAAGTCAATCACTCTCTCCAAATCCCAGGTTCCACATCTATAATTTGGGAATGATGATACCCGTAATACCTTTTCCAACCCTTTTTCATGGGGTTGTTGTTAGGCTTAAAGCAGATAATGCTCTGCCAACTTAAAAGTATTAAATAAATTCCAGTTGTTGCTTTTTTTTATCATTGACCACTATTACAGTAATGCTGCACAAATTTCTGGCTACTTGGTTCAGTGTGATCAAGTATTTGGTCCTAAGGAGGTAGGAAGTTTGGGAAAAGAAAATGTACTTGAGCTTCCTCGGCCAATCTGGCAACTTCTGATCCACCACGTAGAGTTTAGCCTCTTCTTGCCATGTGATCATTTGCGTTTATTTTAGTGCTGAGAGCTAAGATCTTGGGTGGATTTTCCCAGATGAGATTATCAATCAGCTGGGTTCTGTCTACAGGTTATTTCAGTCTGTGAAGCTGCTCTACTCTCTCGGAATCTTCTTCACCTATGCCCTGCAATTCTATGTCCCAGCTGAGATCATCATCCCTTTTGCTGTCTCCCACGTGCCAAAACAGTGGAATTTGGTGGTAGATTTATCCATCCGCACAGGCCTGGTCTGTGTGACATGTGAGTAGGAAGCAGGATGGCTTAATTTTGATGTGATATTTGGGCACCCACGAACTAGGAGCTGGTCGGGGTCCAGACCATCGCGTGGGGGCAGGAATTTCTAAGTTCACTGGCATGATTCAGCAAGCTTGTGACAGGGTAGAATAAAAAGAGCCTTCCCAAGTGTCAGGGCACTTAGGTTTTATTCATGGCCTTGCTACTTATTATGACATCAGGTGGGTCACTTCACCTCTATGGCAGCTTTGTTGTTGTTGTTTAATTGTTTTCAGTCATATCCAATTCTTTGTGACATTTTTTGGGGGGTTTTCTTGGCAGAGATACTGGAGTGATTTGCCATTTCCTTCTCTGGCTCATTTTACAGATGAAGAAATTGAGGCCAATGAGGTTAAGTGACTTGCCCAGGGTCACATAGCTAGTAAGGGTCTGAGGCCAGATTTGAACTCAGAAGATGAATCTTCCTTTCTCCAGGCCAAGTGCTCTATCCACTGTGATAGGTGGCGCCATAGTGCACAGAGCAGCGTGACCTAGAGTCTGAAAGACCTGAGCTCAAATTTGTCCTCAGACAGTACCTGTGTGACCCTGTATAGGTCACTTAACTTCAGCCTGCCTCAGTTTCCTCAACTATAAAATGGGGACAATAATAGTACCCATCTCCCGGGTTTGTTGTGAGGATCAAATGAGATGATATTCTTTTTTTTTTTAATCTTTTTTTTTTTTTTTGCTTTTTTTGGTGAGGCAATGGGGGTTAAGTGACTTGCCCAGGGTCACACAGCTAGTAAGTGTCAAGTGTCTGAGGTCAGATTTGAACTTAGGTCCTCCTGATTCCAAGGCTGGAGCTCTCTCCACTGCACCACCTAGCTGCCCCCAAATGAGATGATATTCATAAAGCACTTAGCACAGTACCTGGAACATATTAAGCACTTAATAAATGCTCCTTTCCTTTTTCTCTCTTTTCTCAATGTCATTTGAGATTCAAGGATAATTAAAATCAGCTGCTAACAATTTTCCCTTCTTTCTTATTCTGAGAGATAATAGTCTTCATTTCTCCTAGCCATAAACATTCAGATCACTTCACAAAAGAAAGAACTAGAGAATGTCCCCTCCCACAGTATCTCGCTAGGTTGCAAAAGAGATTCACTGAGCTTGTTTGGATAACCCCCTGGTGTTTAGATGGCACTTGTCAGTTTATAGAGGCTTTCAAATATATTCTTCCACTAAAGTCCTCCCCTAGGGCCTTATCTCAATGTGAAGATGACCCTGGGTTCTCCAAGGTTAGGACAACAGAGTAGACTCTTGCAGCACCTGCCAAGCTGGACAGGTTTCTGGAGGGAACCCAGCCCTTCTCATCTGACCCAGGCTCACCAGACTGGTAATCCAGAAGCACAGGGAGATGGGTACCTTGGCCAAGGTAGCTCTTTGAAATGACTCTCCCTCAATGGAATGATGGTACAAGAGGAGAGGCCCATCTGGGCCAGGGTTGGAGGGAAAGAGAAAGTTCCCCTAAGACTGGGACCTATGATCCTCCTCCCCCCTAGAAAGATTCTAGATTGAGCCCACCCAAAGGCAAGTGCCCAGGGAGCAAGAACTTCTACTCACTGGCATTTTGAACAATTTTATTTCAGAAAATTCACCTTGTGTGTGCCCATACGCACCCCCCCCCACACACACATATACCTCAACAGTCAAAAGATTTTGAGTATGGGCTCAGGGAAATACCAACCTAGCTAAGTGTAGTAAGGGTGACCAGGTGTTGGATTTTTTTTTTCAGCTACAGCAACTCATGAAAACCCCTACTTTCCCACTAAAATAGAGAAAGATTGTTATTTGCATCTGTAGAGTTTATAATTACCCTGACAAAGGCACAGATCTTTTGAAGTACTGAAATTAGCTTCCATTAAAAGGTATCCTATGCTGAACTATCTATTGGGAAAGACGTTTTGATGCAATGGTGAGAGTCCAGGACTTTGAATCCAAGGACCCTGCTTTGAGGTTCAGCTCTGTCACTCCTCTGCCAGGTGACCTTTTAAAGAATGTAGTTTAAATTCCTTGGCCCCCATTTCCATCCTTGGACAACAGACATTTCATCTATCCATTTCAGGCTGGTCATAAATGCAAATATCTTTTCCTTTACAGGTGCCTTGGCCATTCTGATCCCCAGATTAGACCTGGTAATAGCCCTGGTGGGTTCCATGAGCAGCAGTGCCCTGGCTCTGATCATCCCACCACTCCTGGAGATCATCACCTATTACTCAGAGGGCATGAGCCCTATCACCATCATTAAGGACATCCTGATCACTTTCCTGGGCTTCTTTGGGCTTGTGGTGGGCACCTACCAAGCACTCTATGAACTGGCCCAGCCACCTGTTTCTCCCACCTTTTCCAACTTGACCAGTGCCTTCGTACAGTGATCTACTTCCAAGAGGAACACCTTCCCTGCCTCTCCTCATCCCTCCACTCCCTGTGGAAGGTGAACTCTCTGCTTCTGGGACTAGGCCAACTGTGCTATGGTAGAAAAAGCACTGGGTCTGGAAATGGAACACCTGGGTTATGTGATATGACTATGGGCAAGTCACTTAGACTCTTTGAGCCTCAGTTTCCTCACCTGTAAAATGAGGATACTGCTTCTCCTTATAGGATTTTTGGGAGCATTGAATGAAGTAATGTATTCAAAGCACTTTGTAAATTGTATAGTGCTATAAAAATATGGCCTATTACCACTGCTTTTCTTCCCCCTCAGCATTCTCTTACTTTGGGAGCTCTCCAACATACTGCCTCAAGGTATGAGTCATTTTCTCTTAGCTTTGCCTCTGACTTGTTGGCAAACTTCAGTTAAAGGTTTCCACTAGCTGCCTATCATAGAAAGATGACCTAACAAGGTTGAGCACATGTTTGCCATCCATGAACTCTCTGAATACAAGCTGATACTGAAACTCTAAATATATTCTATCTGGAGTTTGACTCCCTTTCCAACTCCTTGTTCCTGGACCTCTACCTTGTTCCTCAAAGACAAACCAATCTGTGAAATATTTATACTCAATCACCATTTCTAGACTCTGACATGTAGTTGGGTTTTGTATCAGAGGAGACGCAGTTTTAAGAAGAGAGCACATGCATGTGAGAAATCACCTTGAAATCCTGAAGGCAATTAAGGGAAGGACCTTAAGGATTGTCGTCCAACCCTCTCACGCTCCAGGGGAAGAGAATGAAGCTCAGAGAGGACAAGAGGCTTGCCCAAAGCTACACCATGAGTTAATGGTTTGGCTGAGGCTAGAAGTCCGGTCTCTGGCCACACAAAGCTGAGCTCTTTCCCATGAGACCACAGAGCAAGAAGTAATCTTAAAGACTATCAGGTCTAACACTCTCATTTTGCAAAAGAGTAAAGTGCAGATGTAGAGAGGGGAATGGATTTGCCCTGGACTGTAACCCAGGATTCCCCATCCAGTGCTCTTTTCACTACACCCCACGTATTTGGGGATAGAAGAAGGGCTCCCTGCTACTGCAAAGGGCTCTAGAGAAGGAAGACAGAAATGGTGCTAGAAAACAAAAAAAGACCTGAGGGCTCATAGACAAATGATGTGCATTTGGGGGAGGGTTCCCTCCTCTTATATCTCCTGACTATGGTTAGTCACAGTCTCCAAGTGAAAATGCTTATTTTTTGAAAGATTAACAGATTAATCTTACCAAGAAGTAAGAGAAATCTGGCTCAAGTTAGTGGTTAGGGGGAAGGGTTGGAATCTGAAACAGCTCATGATAGCAAAGATCAGAATCCATTCAACAAACATTTGTTAATTACTTTGTGTGTACAGAGTACTCTGTTAAGCACCAAGGAAGGTTTCAGGCTTGGATAGGATAATGTTCTTGCCCTCCTCCCTTGTGAAGAAGGGTCTTTGGTCATCTCTTCATTGCATGTATGTCAGCAACATTAAAGACTAATAACTATTAACATTTGCTTTGTCTTTGGGTTTTCTTTTCCTTTTTCAGAGAGGGGAGCTTATAGGTTGGGAGATTGACTCCCCCATCCCCAATGTGGGCCAGGGTTGTTATAGTGACTCTTAGTAGAAAAGAAGCATGTGCAAGTGGGCAGGTGCTAAGGAGGTGGAAGAAGGTGTAGTGGTTACTGTGAATCTCTGGGAGCAGGGATAAATTCATCAATATCATTTAACATTTAGTATGTACAATGTACCATGTGAATCACTAGAAAAGATTAAAAAAATAAGGCATGGCACTTGCCCTTTTGGAGCTAATCTAAGTAGAAAATGATAAATATACACTGACAAAACTGGTAGTTGGGAGAGGAGGACACATAATTATTGTCCAGTTATCTGAAGGACTCATTTTTGAAAGGGATTATATTGATTCTGGTTGGACCCAGAGGAAAAAAGGAAGAAGGAAAATTTAGCCACAATAGGAGGGAAAGACTTCCATACAACTGAAGCAATTAAAAAAGAGGAATAGGCCACCTCATGAGAGGTCTTTAAGGAGGGATTAGATGGTCATTTGTGAGGGATACATACTGCAGAGAAGAATTAATAATAACTTCCAATTACAGAGCACTTTAAGGCTGACAAAGCATTTTCTCTGCAATGGAGGAAAAGCAAATGTGACAACAGAGAGATAATGTTATCTTTGGGGGGAGGGGCAGAGGTGCTCTCTGGCCTTCTCCCAACTAGGGCCCCTAGCTCTGCTCTGGATTCATATTTGCTGACCAAAATAAGTCCTGGGGGTATCCGAAGAGAGAGATCAGGATCTGAAACTCTGGCTCTCTACACATCCACCCCAGGACCCTGGGAACAATCACTTAAAACTTAGTTTTGGCTCCTGTGTGTCTAGGGCCTTTCCCGGACAGCGGAGTGGAAAGGCACTTGGTGTACAAAGAAAATCAGGTTAAAGTACAGCTATTCATTTTCTCCACAAGAAAGAACTGATTAACATAAGAGACTCACCCGTGCTCATCAACAAAGACTTAAGCAAACAGTAATAACTAACTACTATTAGTACTGTCCCAGGATGCTGAGACTTCAAATGTCAAAACATGGAGCAGATTGTGGGACTGCTAAATCAACATTTCACATGCTACCTTGTATCTGCAGATCTAAGCAACAGCCTCAAGGTCCATGTCTGGCAAGCCCAGCCAGGGTTGGGCTCATCCTTTTATTGGAGATCATCTCCAAGAAATACTAAAGTGTTGGCAGGGCATTGTTATCTGAAGCGCAGCTGGCACTGACTGAGGATCCTGGCATTCTCAACTTTTCAAACTCAAAAGTCTGCCTTCGAGCTTGAAAACATCCACCTTAGGATCATTGCTCAGTCACCTATACTCAGTAAAGAAACAAGAAATAGCCTAAGACCAGGCTAAGGTTCACCTAGGCAGGTCATATGCCTTCTGCCATGTACTTTGCAGCCATCATGCGACTGGAGTGGGAGATAGAGTCCTGTCTCTATCCCCCAGATAGAGGGGAGAAGGGCAGAAGGGGAGAGGGAAAGGAAAGAGAAAGAAGAGAGAGGGGAGGGAAGAGAGAAAAGGATAGGGGAGAGAGAAGGAAGAAGGGAGGGGAAAGGGAAGGGAGGAGAGGAAGGAGAGAGACAGACACAGAGAGAGAGAAGCCAGAAAGAGGAGTGGGAGGAGTAAGAAGGGGGCAGTGGGGAGAGGAAGAGGGCAAGAGAGAGAAGGAGGGAAGAGATAAAAGGGTAGGGGAGACAGAAGGAAGAAAGAAGGAAAGGGGGAAAAGGGAAGAGAGGGGAGAGAGAGAGCAGAGAGCAGTTACTTCTTTTAACATCTACATACTAGATTTGCATTTCATGTGTAATCTTTTTTTAATTATACAATGTTACGGAAATGCTTGTTTTATTCCATAAATTAAAAATAAAATAAATTTTTCTTTAGAAAAAAAAGATCCACTGAATGGCCACTCTGATGGAGTTTTGACATAGCCTCCCCCACTTCAGCCGTCATGGGACAGGGATCAAGGGACAGCCTCTGGTTTGTTTTATCTTTCCAAAGTGACAAGCCCTTCAGCTTTGAGTCATAGATGTCTCTGGAAGTTACCTGGCCCTGCGGGCCCATCCCCATGCATGTTCCATGAGCTGTACTCCAGTTCAGCCTCCATTATACTAGTACTATTAGCTTCAGTTTGGAAATGAGGCTCTGAAAGATTGTTACTTGAGCACAGTCACACAAGTAATAGGTGCAATTTAAGTGTCCCAACTCCAACTCCAAAACTTGATCCACTATACCAAGCTCAGGTTGGGGTTGGTGTAGATGCCCACTAAGGTACCTGATAGCTCTGAGATTCTATGATTATAGAAACAAGAATTTAAGTGCCCAAGAGGAGTATAAAGTGTTATGAGACCAGATGTGGAATCAAGAGGGAAGAGACTCTTCATTGAAGAGGTGGCATTTGAGATGGATTTTAAGGGATGTCGTCAGAATTCATGATATCTGGAAACGGGTGGGGATAGTGAATAGGTAGTTAGTTTAAAGTAAAAGAAGAAACCACTAAGCAGGTGAGATGGGAATTCAATCCAATTTCCAAAGAAGAGAAAAATAGATGTGGAGACTTTATCCCAGGCTTTACTGGAAACAAGATATGCTATGTCCCTAACTTTCTTTTATCTACCAACCTAGTAACCTAATCAAAGGGAGGCAGAGAAGTTCAGGACATGGTCTGTACCCTCCAAGAGTTTATAGTTCAATTTGGTGATGGTGGTGGTGGTGGAAATAGAATATATGCATAATTAGAGAATGAGAGTCCATGTAGTATGGGAAATAGAGGGCTGGCCTTGGAGTCAGTAACACATGAGCTCTGCCTCTCACATTTACTAGCAATGAGTATGAGATAACAGCTTGAGGCAACTCTACATATTAGGGACAAGATCTGTGACACCAAGGTTCCATTCTGAGATTTTCCCCACATTGATGAACTTAAACATCCAGAGAATTACTTCTCTTTCCCCTTCTTTTTGCCTTCCCCTATGCCCAACAAGGAAGAATAAGCTAAATTCCAAAAGGTGGTATAGATGGCAGGTACTATAAGATTTCAAAGACAGAGAAAATGGTTAAGGATGGGAGTGGTCAAAGAATGCTTCATTGAGGTGGGGAGGCTGAAGCTGAGTCCCAGAGAATGAGTGGTGTCTGAATTGGCACAAAGTTTAGTCAAAGATCATTCCAGGCACAAAAACAACAGAAGCAAAAACTGGGAGTAGAGGCTTAGCATGCTATGTTCAAACTTGCTAAGGTCAGCCCAGCTGCAACTGAGAGTTCATGTTGAGGAATGGTGGGTGAGAGGCAGCATGGTCTGGACTTTAGAGTGAGGAGACCTGAGTTTTAGGTCCAACTCTGTTGTTAATACATGACAGAGTGATCCTGGGTAAGTCACTTTCCTTCACTTTTTCCTCTCCTAAAAGATATAAGATGTTTTATGGCCTCATTTGCCTTTCACTGGTCAATAATCCCTTGTGTGTTATCTCTCTTTTTAAGAATGGAAACTTGGGGGCAGCTAGGTGGTGCAGTAAATAGAGCTCCAGCCTTGGAGTCAGGAGGACCTGAGTTCAAATCCAGCCTCAGACACTTGACACTTACTAGCTGCATGACCCTGGACAAGTCACTTAACCCCCATTGCCTCACCAAAAAGCAAAAAAAAAAAAAGAATGAAAGCTCTTGGGACAGCTAGGTGGTGCAGTGGATAGAGCACCAGCCCTGAAGTCAGGAGGACCTAAATTCAAATTTGACCTCAGACACTTGACACTAGCTATGTGACCCTAGGAAAGTCACTTAACCCCAATTGCCTCACCAAAAAAAAAAAAAAAAAAAGAATGAAAGCTCTTGGGACAGCTAGGTGGTGCAGTGGATAGAGCACCAGCCCTGAAGTCAGGAGGACCTAAATTCAAATTTGACCTCAGACACTTGACACTAGCTATGTGACCCTAGGAAAGTCACTTAACCCCAATTGCCTCACCAAAAAAAAAAAAAAAAAAAGAATGAAAGCTCTTTGAGAACAGTGACTATCTTTTTTTATCTTTGGATACTCAGCTCTTATCACAATGCCTGGAATATAATTAAGTGCTTAATAAATTCAAAACCTGATCTCTCATTATTCATTCATTATTTCTAAGGTATTTTCCATCTCTATGATTCTATAATGTGCTCAGTAAACACTGGAATGAATGAATGGGAAAAGTGGACAAAAGGTGGGTGATTTCCTTAGGGGATCTGATCGCTAAACTGAAAAACTTGAACTTTATCCCACAAGCATTGAAACATTATTTGCACAGATTTGAACAGGAAAGTGATATGCTAAAATGAGGGTGTGCAATGGCTTGGAGAGATGATCTAGAGGTTAGGAAACTATTTAATTAGCTGTTGCAGGAATTCAAGTGGTAAGCACCAGGATTAGGTTGGAGGGAAGAGGAAGGGAGAGAAATGGACAGATGTGAGAGATGGGGATATGGCTAGGGGATCCACAATAGAAGGAAAGAGGACAGTGGGTAATGAGGAACAGGTGGATGAATGCCATGGAGAAAGGATACCTGGGCAAAGTATTTATAGAACTTTTCATTCAATAGATATGTATTGAATATATGCAAGTCACTGAAGAATAAAGCATGATCTCTACCCTTGAGATCATAGTAAGGAGGCCACACAGTGTAGTAGACAGAGCAGTCAGCTTGAGTTCAGGAGATCTGGTTCACAAAACTTGAGAGTTGGAAGGAATGTCCAAGGTCATCTAGTGCAATATATGGAGGAAGATAGTAAAGTGAAAATACTCAACAAGTAGACCTCCAACTTTTGTTTGTCAGCCTCTAGTGAGCAAGAACATCTTATGCCCTAAGCCAACTCATCCCACTTTTGGAAAGCTCTGGAGCTCTAGCAAAGCTCTAGGAACATCTTCTTCAAATGAAGCCTAAATTTGCCCCTTTACAGTT